TGCCATACCCTGCACCCCACACCCCAACCCCCTGCCTCACCCCGCATCCCTCCTGCATCCCAACCCACTGCCCTGAGCCCCTACCACTCCCCACACCCCTCCTGCACCCCCTAGGGGCAGGGAGGGAGGGGGCAGAATTGGGGTGGGGATTTCGGGGAAGGTGTTGGAATGGGGGCGGGGAAGGGGTGGGAAGAGGCAGGGCAGGGGTGGGGCCTCATGGAAGGGGTGGAGTGGGGGCGGGGCCGAGGGCGGCGGGGGGGGGGAGAGGTGTCAGTAATGCAACCCTCTGGGCCAATGTACTAATCCTCATGTGGCCCTCATGGTCATTTGAGTTTGAGACCCCTGATCTAGCCCCCAACCTGGCTCTGTTTTTCTTAATTAGAGAGTTTCCCAAACTCACTCACTGAAAGGAGCAGAAGTGCAGAGCTGAGTAAAAAAAGTCGGGGAGGGAGGGGTATCTTGATCTCCCTCAGTACAGGGGCTATGTTTACACAGAGTTTGAAGTGTTGCAGACCTCTTGGCAGCTACAACCCCCAGCTCCCAAACTCCTACTGTAGAAAAGCTACCAAAATAGTGAAGAGGGTGCAGGGTCTGACTCTTCTTTATAGCTCCTGTGTCAACATACATAATGTGAAACAGCTGCTTCGTTCTAGTCTTTCTGCAGCATTTTATTTTACGTGTTGTCTTTCTTGGGTTTTGCTATAACATTAAAATATTAATACCTCTTTAGATTTAGTATCCAGTATTTGGGCTTCCCTTCTTGTAATTTGAGAATTGTTCTACCACAGGCTGTACTGGAGTTTGTTCTCGCTACCAGTTTATCTGTGATGATGGCTGCTGCATTGACATCACCTTTGCTTGCGATGGAGTGGAACAATGCCCGGATGGATCTGATGAAGCTTTCTGTCAGAACTGTGAGTGCATAGTACACTGTTTTTTGTCTTGGAAGCAATGGCTGGGGGTTCTGACAAGAAATGCGGTAATGTGCTCTTTCAGTGCACAGTTAGTTCTCTCTAATCAGAATGAAGAACAGGAGTACTTGTGGCACCTTAGAGACTAACAAATTTATTAGAGCATAAGCTTTCGTGGACTACAGCCCACTTCTT